TTGGAAGGTGGGAGAGTGTAAGGAATTACAATTCCTTACTGTACTCGCACTTTAGCGAGTACGTCCCGAGGGACACGCGACGAACCTGTTCGGCCTAATTCGTCGCACCGAACCACTCCCGAGTCGGCTCCGCACCAATCGCAACCATCACCGAGCCATCTTCGCCCTACCTCTTCGCCTAGCTAGGATTTCCCCTATTTAGGCCTCGCTACTTCATTGTTTCGTCATTCTGTAATTCTCATTCTCGTTATTCGATATCTGCGCACTCTGACAAGTTCATTCATAACAACCACCTTGCGCTAGTGTGTGAGGGCAAGAAAGATTAATTATAGAAAGAAAGTACAAGCTTTTATAAGATTACAGGGGAATACGAAAGGTTTGACTAACTTTTATTTGTAACTGTAATTGTAACTGCTGCTGTTGTGGTTCGATATAGTGACAACTCGAGAAACTGCTCAATATCAAGTCAATTGTTTGTCCTTGCTGTCATGCTGTATTTGTCGAATCAAAGGTCGCTGAGCGCTTGTTGTCAGCGTCGCCGGCGTGGTCTGCATCCACGTAGCCGATCAACTTAGGCGTCGTGGTTCCGTTTTTCTGGTAGGTTAGGCCGATCGTCGGGGTGCTAGCGAGGTAGTGAAGTGCGCGGTCGAGCTCCGCCATGTGCTCTGCTTCGGGTTTCTTGAGGTAGGTAGCGAGCTGGCTTGCCGAATACGATAGTTTTGGTCGGCAGGTGACGGCTGCGAGTAGTAGGCATCCTAGTTTTCGCTGATAATTGCATATGCCGGCGGGCTTGAGTGGCGCAGAGGCTTCTTTGGGATTTCCGGCGGTGTAGTGATATGGCGTGGAGATAGCAGTTGGGGTAAGTCCGAAGCGCTTGGCGATATTGTCGGCGTATTTCGCGGCGCTGAGGTGGATCGCGCTTTCTTCTTCCTCTATGTTGAGCCCGAGATACTGCGTTAGGGTAGATGAGACGGTGAGTGTGAGGTCCCGCTGTAGCTCCCCTTCGAACCAGGTCGTCATATCGTCGGTAGAGCCGATGTAGAGGAGATCGTCCACGTAGACGATTAGCAGGATGTAGTCGGTGCCTTTCGTGAGCCGGTACATGCCCTGGTCGTGCGGTAGCTAGCGGAATCCAATACGGATGAGTCGAGCATGTAGGTACTGCTGCCACAGCCTCGGGGCCTGTTTGATGCCGTACAGGGACCTCAGTAGCTGACACACTTTGTTAGGGTCTGCGTTGGAGCCGTGTGGCTGTTCGACGAAGATCTCAGCGTCGACGGGTGCATAGAGAAAGGCGTTGGCGACGTCAATTTGGCGAAGCCTTTTCCGCATCATGGCGGCTATCGCGAGGAGAATCCGCAGTGAGGTGTGTCGGCTGACCGGTGCGAACATTTCAGTGAAGTCCCGTCCGTGCTCTTGGTTGAATCCACGTACGACCCAGCGCACTTTGAACTTGTCGATGGTTCCATCAGCTTTGGTTTTCACACGAAAAACCCATTTTCCGGTGAGGATAGTCTTGTTGCGTGCCACTCCGATAGGAACGATTTTCCAGGTGTTGCATTCTTCCAATGCCTTTAACTCCCTGTCCATGGCTTCGCGCCATTTTTCCTTGTGCTCCCCCCCCCAGAGCCTGCTGAACCATGGCAGGCTCCTTAGGTGGTGCTGCTCTGTGGACCGTGGTGACAAGTCCTAGTATCTGAAATCCACTCTGTGAGAGTCGGGGGAGATTTGGGTCCTCGGGATAAGCTGCTTCGTCTCCCGCTTTTGGATCAGGTACGAAATAGGGTGCCCTGCGTTCTGCTTCGTCGGTGTTGACTCGCGCGGGTGTAACGTAACCATTGTCGGCGAGGTCGTAGTAGACTTCGGCGTTGATGCTTTCGCGAGGGTTTTCGTCGTCCATTGGGACGTCGACCGAACAGTAGGGAAGAGGTCCGGCTTCTTCCGAGGCTCGGTCCACGTTTTGTTCGTCCCAGTCAGCTTCGTCTGCTGCCGAGGCGAAGGCTCAGTTACCGTTGAATCCACCTGTGGGGTCCCGTTCTCCTTCCAGGTTGGCAAGGTACGATGGAAGGGTGAGTCGTTCGTAGAAAATTACGTCATGTGCTGCTACTGTTTCCTTCGAGTGGACGTAAAAAATCTTCCATGCGTTGTAATGCTTTTCGATGCCCAGGTGTACTCCCCATGTGCGCGTTGGGAGAATCGACCGGCCCGTGCAGCTGGGGGTCGGTACTGTACCATGCAGCCGAACACTCGCAACATTTTTGTGCTGCCCAATTTCCCTGTCCACAGCAGATGCGGTGATGCGTTGTTCGGGAGTGACGACGACGAAAGCAAGTTGTGCAGCATCACGGCATGGTCCATTGCTTCGGGCCACTGGTGGTTGGGTAGCCGCATGCCACGTAGCAGCTCGCGCATGTGTTCTGGAGGGTCCTGCTCATCCTTTCTGCCACACCTTGCTGTTGATGGGCGTAAGGAAGGGAGATGAGCCTCTTGATGCCTCGTTCTGCCAGGTACTGCTTGAATCTTTGTGACTGATATTCCCCTCCCCCGTTTGACTGAAAGCATTTTGGCTTTGCCCCTAATTCTCGTTCTGCTGCTGGAAGCCAAGCGTCGAAAGCTTCGAAGGCCATGTCGCGGCTAGGGAGATTGAAGTGCCAGACGTAACATGTGGTGGCGTCGATGAACGTGATGACGTAGCTGTATGTTCCTTGTCCGGGTTCGCGGTTGTACAGAATGCCGCTGTACACCTTCTCCAGTGGTGCGTATGCTGGAGCGCTCGGGTTGTGGTGAGAGACGAACGGCTGATGCGGTAAGTCGGCTTCAGGGCAGGTAAAGCATGTTCCTCGGACTCGTTGAAGCTCTCTGCCGTCGTGTAGGAGTAACGAGTCTTTGTCAAGAACGCCGGCCCTTATTGTGTTGTTTAACATGGTGTTGCTCGAGTGTCCCAATCTTGCATGCCAGATGTCTTCACCAGCACGATGTCCGGGTGAGCGTCTGTACAAGTCGGAGTTGGAGTAGAAGCCTGCGGTGAAGTTGGCGCTTCTGTGGACTTCACGTGGAGTGGGAGTCAGCTGTTGCGCAGGAGTTGGTGGCGTGTCGTCGATGAGGACTGGTGTCGTCGAGGGACCAGCGATTGGTGTTGGTGTTGTCTCTGCTGCTGCCGATGTTGTTTCTTCTGTCGTATTGTGTCCCGTGCGTTGGGTATGGCAGGGAACCGTCGAAGTATCCAAGAATCTGCGCGCCTTCCATCATCAGCTCGAATTCGAAGGACCAGGTATAGAAGTCCTTTCCGTCGGAGGGCATTGATGTTTGCAGCTTTAAAACGTGTGCGAACTGCGACTGTATCTGAATCACGTCTAACGTCTTCTCTTGTCCAGGTGCAGGTTGATTCGGCATGAAGCTGGTGGAGCCACGTTGAGGCTCGTACGGCGCAAAGGTAGGCTGCTGTTGGTTTCCCTGTGTATACGATGAACCATCGAGGCTAATGGGGGTAATCCCGTCACCGTTGTTGTTGTTGTTGCTTGATTGCGCAGGTGCTCCTTGCTGGTGTTGCTCGTAGAAGGCCATGAAGGAGAAGAACTTCTCCATCATGCTTGGGTCGAAGCCTGTCGTCTGGTTCGCGGTAGTTTCCGTAGATTCAGCAGCTGGTCTTCGTGCTATACCTCTCTCTGTCTGCAGGCCAGAGGCTGGAGGTGGGGTAGGAGTGGTGCCGGGAGTGCCACTATAGGGGTTTTTGTCCTTCTGTGTAGCCATGTCTTATGATGTTGTAGAGTTTAAACGAAAAAGAGTTTCCCTTGACTTGCTCTCATACCATGTTGGGCTGAGAAATAGCCCTTAGGATCTTTTCAAGGTTAGAACTCCTAGTAGGAATGTTGCAATTGCGGAAGCGTTTTAATGAGAAGTATTGAACCACTTTGCGCTATTGTGTGAGGGCAAGATAGATTAATTATAGAAAGAAAGTACAAGTTTTTATAAGATTACAGGGAAATACGAAAGGTTTAACTAACTTTTATTTGTAACTGCAATTGTAACTGCTGCTGTTGCGGTTCGATACAGTGACGACTCGGGCAACTGCTCAATATCAAGTCAGTTGTTTGTCCTTGCTGTCGCGCTGTATTTGTCGAGTCAAAGGTCGCTGACCTTTGACCTTCGCGTAACCTCCAGAGGTTACGTTTTCTGTCAACCTCCTCGGTTGACTCGTCATTGCTGCGCTGTAGTTTGCCTCTTTTACAGTTCGATGTTGCGTCACACAAGAAGCGTTAAGGGCGCGTCACCTCTAAATTCGAACAAAGCCCTTTGTTGAACATGCGATTTGTTACACATTTCGCCAGATTTCGCATGAACTTCGTTGAGTCCTCGTGAGTTCGCAAATTGATACGTCGCTAAATCAAACAGAGCTGTCACATCCAGCATGAAGGATTTCGCGCTTGTTGTTCGAATGAGTCCGTTCGAATGTAATTCGTGATGAGCACATACGACGCCCACAAACGGCACGAAGAAGTTTCCATGTATCTTTCGACTGCCTTTTGATGTTCGTTATGCAATCAAAACCTTCTGACGACGGTTGTGCGACGTTGCACGGTACACGCATTTCACTTCATGTGACACACCGTCACCTTTCATCAAATTCTCAAATCTTGTTCGAACATCAAAATTGTGTTGTTCGGGCACTGGAAAATATTAGCAGTGCTCGAATTTTGGCCGACTGCTTGAGAGGTGACGCGCCCTAATTTACTTGTTTCCAACAGTATTTTGCCTTTGATTCCCACAAAAATCTGCTGGCGTTTTACACCGCAGCATGTATGAGGGGATTTATGCGTTCTCCTCTCCAGGTCCCGGCTCATCCGAAGGTACGGTAGAGATGAGATATGGGCGATCCCAATACAGTCAGATATTCCTTCATTCCTACACGTTTTGTCAATTGAGTTGAGAGTTGGAGACAGTGTAGTGGAATTGGATGTGTAAAGCCAGAAAGCTACTAGGCTTGCTACAAACTTTGCATTTCATACGTCTAAATTGATGAGATTTGAAGTAATAAGTTGGTCGATTTCTGATGCGAGCCTGTGGAACAGAGAGGAGGGAGGTTGAATTGAAATAGAGTGTTAGTCCCATCACATTGAAGTAGCAACCAGTAATCGCCTGACACCTGCCCAGCCCCAGAACCCCCTCCCTTTTTATGCAATGGCTCTATCATCACCGATTACAATCCCTGCCAGCTAAAACGATTCATTATAGTCTACCTGTAGAGAGGCAGGCCCATGACGTTGAAGTAGCACCCGCTGATCGCCAGACACCCCCCCCCCCCCAACAGCCCCTCATTCCCTTCCGCCCCTCCATGCTGCTCTGGCGCTCTCCCTGCTATACTCACCACTCGTTATAGTCACTACCTGTTGAGTGGCACTCCAATAACATTGAAGTAGCACCCGTTGATCGCCTTCACTAGACACCCTCCCAGCCCTTAAATGCCGTACCCTCCTTACCTGCCTTGTCCATGGGCTCATCTGTCCCACATCCGCTCATGAGCTGCCACCAATGTAAACACCACCCATCACAGCCTGTTGTTGGAAAATTCTCAAAAACCAGACCCACTAGCTGCTAACATTGTGAACGCCACCATTACAGTCATCATCCGATGTAAGCATCACCTGTTGAGAGGCAGTCCCATAACGTTGAAGTAGCACCCGTTGATCGCCTTCACCAGGCACCCCCCCAGCCCTTGAATGCCGTAACCCCCGGCCTTGTCCATGGGCTCTCCTGTCCCCACATACGCCTCGATCTCTGTTCTGGACAAGGCTGCAAACTCCACCTGACAGACAAAGAGAGAGGGAATATGAGGGGATGGGAAGAGAGTGTGAGGGGGGGAGGGGGGATATGAGTGGATGGGTAGAGAGCGTGAGGGAGGGAGGGGGGATATGAGGGGATAGGAAGAGAGTGTGAGGGAGGGAGGGGGGATATGAGTGGATAGGAAGAGAGTGTGAGGGAGGGAGAGAAGGGGCGCATGGCACTCCCCCTTGCCTTGTCCATCGGCTCGCCTGCTCCCACATACACCTCGATCTCCCCTTGGGACAGTGCTGCAAACTCCATCTGTTGGGGAAAGAGAGGGAGTTTGAAGGGTTAGGCGGGTGAAAGGGGAGAGCTGGAGCATGGTGCCCCCATGCCTTGTTTGTCCAAGAAGAAAAGAGAGTATAGATGGTTTCTCTCATGCCAAATGCACCTGAGCGCGTTTGCGATGAGTTATGATTATGTACACACCGAGGTGACTTTTGAGTCGACGCAAAAGTCTTGAAACAGGGGTATAGGAATAGCGCATACCACAATGCAAACGCACTGAGGTGACTTAAAGTCACGAATGGGGAATAGGACAAAGTTCAACAGAGCACATGCCTGAATGCTAACACACCTGAGTGCACTCGTGAAAAGAGCGGAGAAGAGGCGATCGGCCAATCAGAGGGTCTGTTTCGATTCAAGATGGGGCAGGGGAGGTATGTGGGGGAGGGAAATTGGAGGGAGAGAGGAGAGGGTAAGTAGAGGGGGGTGAGTAGCAGCAGAGATAGCAGAGGCAGAGTGCGTCAATGAGGGACAGAGTGACTGACAGGTTTTGCAGCAAGTGTAAGGATGGGACACAGTGGAGGTCTACTTTCGACCCGAAGGGGCGAGTGGAAGGTGTACCTGTAGCCTGTGTGACGGGATAAGTGCAACATTCTCAACTGCTCGTTTTACCCCGGCAAGGTAAAGGGTTCGAATGTCAAGTAGTGAGGATCGGCTCGAATTGGAAAATTTTGAGGAGTACGACTTGGCTGGGAGCTCACGCCCAAGAGTACATGGCCCACCTCCGACACCCTCCCAGCCGATCCCCACCACCTGACATTCAAACCCTATACCTTGCCGGGTAGAATGAGTAATTGGAAATGTTGCACTAACCTGTCACCCTGGCTACAGGTACACCTTCCATTCGCCCTTTCGGGTCGAAAGAAGGCCTCCACTGTGTCCCATCCTCACAGTGAGTGAGGGTGCTGTGAAAGACAGGTTTTGCAGCAAGAGTAGAAAGCGTGCGTCGGGTAACTCAGCGCTTTCCTCAATATTGAGAACATAAGTTGATATTGAGGAACACAAAACTGATTATTCATAGCATCAATCACAATATTCGGCTGTGCCCTGATTCACATAACTGCACTGGAAGAAGGTAGGACGCACCAGTGACAGCTGGCAGGACGTACCGGTGACAGCTGGCAGCACAAGAGCCACTCCCGTGAAAACCCGGTGCTTGCGGCCTGTGGGGGGATGATGGGGGTGGTGTGTGGAGAATGGGTGAGTGATGGGGGAACGATGAGGGGATGATGGGGGGGTGATGATGGTGAGGGTGGTGGGTTGGAGGGAGGACGATGTTCAGACAGGGTATAAGGGGTGCTGGGGAAACGACAGGGCCCATGGGAGTGCTGTGCTGGGGGACTGAAAGAACACGAAGGGTGGTACCTGAGAGGAGTGAAAGCATGCGAATTGCATCCTCCTTGGAAGCTGGCTTCTCTAGAAGCTCGCCCTGAAGGGGAAAACATGGATGGATTGGGAAAGCAGCTGGTTAGGTGAATAGTCAATGGAAAGATGGAAAACTTCCATGTTGGAAGGACTAAGTCACAAGGTGAAATTGGCATACATGCTATCTTAAGAATGCTCTTTGATGAGAAGACTCAGGTAAAGGTACTGTTCCCTAATGAGAAGTCATCACGGGTGAATGTACAAATGGGTGCACTCAGGTGGAAAGTACTGATTAACCCATTTTTCGTACATTCAGCCACACACCATGCGTACATTCGTACACTCTTCAGCACAGATAGCTTCTTCCCTCCTTCTACATCCACATCTACTGAGAGCGGTGCGTGCCCCCCACCCACCCACCCACCCACCCACCCACCCACCCACCCACCCACCCACCCACCCACCCACCCACCCACCCACAGTGTCAGCCGCAATCACAAGAGTCGGTGGTGCCTCCCCCACTAGCCCACTCACACCTCTCCCACTCACACCCCTCCACACCCACTCACATCTATCTCCACCACAGTGTCGGCAGCAATCACTAGAGTTGGTGGGGCCTCCCCACTGGCCCACTCACATTTCTCCCATCCCACTTACACCCCTCCCCACCCACTCAAATCTCTCCACACCCACTCATATCTCACCCAACCCACTGACACCCCTCCCCACCCACTCACATCAATCTCCACCACAGTGTCAGCAGCAATGACGAGCGTTGGTGGCGCCTCCCCACTCGCCTGAACAGGACATGCGCAGAGAGAAAGGGAGCGAGCGAGTGGGGAGGCGGGAGCGAGTTGGAGCATTGATTGTACACATCTATTGATACGGAATTGATCATACGCATCTATTGATACGGAATTGATCATCTATTGATACGGAATTGATCGTACGCATATTGATACGGAATTGATTGTATGAGATGGGAGGGTGGGCATGCACCTGAGCAGCACAAACCTGAGCAGCACACACCTGAGCAGCACACACCTGAGCAGAGCAGCACACACCTGAGCAGCACGCAGGGCCTTGGAGGAAACTTCTATGGCCTTGTGCGTGGCTGTCTCTGCTGCGTAGTCTGCAGCGGGGAGATGAATTGGGAGGGAGGGGGATGAAAAGGGAATTTATGGAATCACTTTTTCAGAATACTCAGAGATGCGGGGAGGGAGATGAAAAAGGGGCCTTCTATGGCCTTGTGCGTGGTTGTCTTTTTTGCGTAGCCTGCGAGTGGGGAGATGGAAGGCGGGGAGGGGGACGAAGAGAGGAAACGTAGATGGAAGGGGGATGAGAGGGATGGGGTGCAACAAGCAAGCAGGGTGTCTGAGTCGACTCAAGAAAGGGGGAATTGCTTGCAGGCAGGGTTGACAAAGCCTAAAAAGCTGGGGGAGTAAGAATGGTAAGCGTCGAGCAAAACTTTTGAGGCGTCTCAAAGGGCGTGCAGTAAGGAATAGATGCTGCGGGGAAGGGGAAGCCTGAGGTGGTGCTGTGGCTTACCTCCTGCGCTGGCGAATGCTGCTTTATTGAGGTCCTCGTTAAAGGTGCTCGGGATAACGTCAACAGTTAGTCCCTGGGAAAGGGGCAGCGAGAGAGGTGAGGAAAGAGGTGGCGACAGAGGCGACAAAGGGAAAGGGGGAGAGAAAACGGCGGGGAAAGGGGGAGCGACAGAGGCGGGGAAGGGGGGGAAAATGGGAAATACGGGGGAGGAGGGGAGTGAGAAGGATGTGGGGGGGGGGGGGGGGGGGGGGAGTCTAAAAGCTGTAAGCCTTTAAGGCAGGGGAACAGGAGCTTTTGAGTCGACTCAAAATAGACTCACTGGCAGGGAAACATGAACTTATGAAAGAAATCTACAAGTCTGTAAATAGGCACAGGAAGAGAAATCTTAAAAACGTCTACCTGCTACGAATGCTCTCACCTACCAAGCTCGACAGCACTAGTTGCTGCCTAACGTCCCTAACGTACTGCCTAGTAGCTCCACCTACCAGGCCCGACAGCAATTCGCGTCTCCTAGGGGACGCCGACGCGAGAACGATCCGGCGCTTCGACAGTGCTGCCACGTGTTGGATGAACATTGGACCACGCTTGTTCCCTGTTTGCAAGCCTATTACGTGTTGGAGGAAAGCAATACGGCAAAGCGGCGTAGCTGCCGTATCCGTCAGTTCCAACAATTTAACGACGGCGTCGCCCTCTCGACACGCGAGAACTGCCTCTAGAGACGTCTCTACAAACGACCAAACAGATTTTACGACTTGGCTGTCGCGGATTTCGTGTGAATGCCACGGAACAATGCAAGCACGCTGATCATACTCGATTTCAGCAGACTCGGTTGCGAAACGTTGCACTGCTGCAACGATGAATGCATCAAATAAGGAGACCACTTGCAAATCTGCACTCATGTATAGAAAAATAGCCAACCTTATGCCACTTTTGCTGCAAATTTCTACTGATATATGAATCTCTGCCTCCTCTATGTACCCTTGCCTGCTCGTCTTTTCCCTTTGCCCACCTTTTTCCCTTCTCCATTCCCCTTTACATCTCCTGCGCCTTTTTCTTTTTCGCCAACTTCCATTTCAGCCTTTTGCTTCCCTGGCAGTGTCGTTGACAGAGACACCACAGATCCTCCTCCCTGATCCAACCCCTTCACCGAATCCTTCACCTTTTTCTTTTTATGCTTATCACCACTACCACCAACACCACCACCACCAACACCGCCACCATCGGCGCCATCACCACTACCGCCAGCAGCACCCCCTTCACATGACCGTGCTGTACTAACAGCAGTACCTCTCGCGCTTGCATTACCACCACTCGCCTTGGCAGCTCCACCCTTCTTGACCTTTCTTGACCTAGCTGCTTCTGCAGGGATCCCTGGTACCTTAGCCACCCCAGCCACACCACAACCATGACCAGAGAGAGCAGCAGCAGGTGAACCGCCACTGTTAACACTTGCAGCACTCGACTTCTTTTGCTTCTTCTGCTGCTGTAGCTGCTTCCGCCGCTGCTGCCTCTGCCTTCCACCATCCCCCTTTTGCTTTTTTTTCCCCCCCGCAGCAGCACCACCAGCAGCTGCACCAGCAGCAGGTGCTGTGTCAGCAGATGCTGCCGCCGCCGCTGCTGCCGCAGCAGAAGCAGCAGCAGCATCAGCGGCAGCGGCTGCGGCAGCAGCTTTGGTGCGTTCAAATCGCTCAGCGTGGGTCTCCCCAATGGTCTCCACCTCCCCATCGCTGTTCACCACCACCTGCAGCTCGCCCCTGCTGTGCCGCCCCACCGCTGCCAAGTGTTTCTGTTGGAAGAGAGGGGCAGGCACGGAGGGATTTTTTATGAGTCAACAGCCAACTCTCAGCGTGGGTCTCCCCAATGGCCTCCACCTCCCCATCGCTGTTCACCACCACCCGCAGCTCGCCCCTGCCATGCCTCCCCACCGCTGCCAGGTGTTTCTGTAGGAGGGCAAGCGGGAAGAGGAGAGAAGAAGGCAGGAGTCAACGATGGAATGTATGCAGCCCGCTGGGTTGTAAGGAGTCCTTGAGCTCCCCACTAACCCATCGCTCTTCACCACCACCTGCAGCTCGCCTCTCCCATGCCTCCCCACCGCTGCCAGGTTTTTCTGCAGAGACACACGGGGGAAGAGGGAAGAGAAGGGGGAGAGGTGGCGAGAAGTGGTGGGAAGTAGTATAGGTACGCCTGTAAACAAATCAACCCGAAACTCGGCACTGACCCATCGCTGATCACCACGACCTGCAACTGTCGCCTGCCATGTCATCCCACTGCAGGGAAGCATGGGAGGAAGTTGCCTGGTATGGCGCAGGGCAGCGACTAGGTTCGGGTTTGGGGTTTAGGGAGCACTTGCACCTCCCAAGGCAGGTGCTAGTTCAGGCTATCGTAGGTTGATTATAGAAAGCAACCAACAGCGAAAAGGGACTAGGGTTTGAGGTTTAAAGAGCACTTTCTGTTCCAAAGGCAGGTGTCAGTTCAGGTCATCTTGGAAGCCAGGTGGTCACCTTGGACGCCAGGTGTTTCTTCATGTTGTCACTGTTCACACAGAGCACTCGAGGACACACTCTGCACCGCAGCACACCCCCTCCCACTCCTCCCTGCCCCACCACTCTCACCACCATCTCCCCCCCCTCGCCAAAACCCATGTCTTTGAATGCCTCTCCCTCCCCCTGGCCTTTCCTCTTCCGCTTCCCTGCTTTGCCACCCTCCTCCTCCACCCTCTCTCCTCCCTCCTCTTCCTCATCCTCCTCCCCGTCCTCCTCTCCCTCCTCGCCTTCCTCACTACTGTCGTCACTTGTGCTGCTATCACTGTCACTGCTCCCGCTCTTCCTCCCCTTCTTCCTCCTCTTCTTCCTCCGCTTCTCCTCCTCTCTCTCTCTCTCCTCCTCGGAAACCAGCTCTTCCCACTGAGAAGACATCCCCCCTGCCCCTCTCCCCTCCTCTTCCTCTGACTCCTTCTCTGAGTCACTTTCACTCTCTCCCTCCTCACTCACCCCACCACCCCCCTGCACTTCCGCTTCTTCCTCTGCAAACACAAACCGGGGAGAGGCGAGGACAGGGGAGAGGAGAGAGGGGGGGGGGTGAGGTGGGCAGGGAAGCAGAAAGCATTGAAAGGGGGAAGCAAGTCCAGTCCTTCCAATGCTGGCAGGGAAGCAGAAAGGAGAAAAGGGAGAAATATAACAGTGCTGGCAGCTGCACGACCCGCAAGATGCCATTCAACCACTAAATTAGTTGCGACGCGCCGTAATCCCTCGTCGCAGCGCCTTATTATTTTAAGTTTAACGCCATCTCGGATCAGTGCCGCGCGGCGCGAGAATGTCGCGTTCAGTCGCCCACCTGACGAGGCGACATTGTCGTCGTCGTCGCTCGACGAGCTCGATTCGTCGCTGGAGGCGGCCGCGGGGCCGTCTTCGCGATGGAGCATGCGATAGTCGCGACGCTTGATCATCGCGAAGTCGTCTGAGTCACTGATAACCAGAATCAGGTGGCTTGGAGAAGTTTACGGCGAAGATTTGAAGATACTGCGGCAAGAAAGTGGCGCTTAACCACCAAACAGTCTCGTCGTAAGTCGTAAGTGGATACGCGGGGCGCGCCTAAGGGCGCGTGTCTTTTGGTGTAGATTGTCAAAGTTCGAGCCTAGTACCGCTTTGTAACGTGGCGACACGTCTCTCAACTGTATCCTACCGCGTACAACCTTTCTAAAAGTTCAACTTTTGGCCAAAGTTCAACCTTAGGACACGCGCCCTAACGAGTCTAACCCGGCAAGGTCGGCTGAGAACTTGGGGAGTGGTGGCAAAACAGGGGATCAGGTTTCGGGTTTTGTGAGAGATTCATAAGAGCGAGTTTCGGGCTTCACATTGGGTTTATGCCTCGTAACTCTTGAGGTTCGCAGAGCAACTGTATCCGCTGGCGTAACAGTAGTAACTGATTGGGTTCACATTCCAACGGCTTACGCGAATTCTGTATCTGTAACGGTCGCAATGTGCTGATGTCGTTTCTCCGCTAATTGAAACGAAATCAGGTGGAGCGAGATATGAATGTTCGTCAAGATCCAGCCAATAGCTTCGCCAACAGATTACTCTTCGCAAACGGAGAGCCTTATCTCGTTTCGTGGGACGGCAATTGGTTCCACAACTCCCGCTGATCTGGACGTCAGTCAGCCAACCATCAGTCAGTCATGCAGCGGCTTCACCGCCGCCTTTTTGCTGACGATTTTCTCAAGAAACACTATTTCTGTAATCTGTTCACGACAAAAGCCGGTTTCTGGAGAGCTAATACCATTCGTCCCGTCAGTGTAGGAGAAGTGAAGCACTACGGATTGCCTGAAACAGAAGGCAACAGGTGGATGCGCTATTCCCTTGGTCTCTTCCGCGAGGCTTAGAATTCCGCAAGCAATTTCCCTGATTCCGTTTCGTCCTCATCTCCTTCCGTCGTCGAAGCCATGGCGGCGAGTGCGAATCTGCCTGTGCTGGACGTCACTGTCGACCCGGGTAGTCCTTCGGAAGAGAAGGAGAAAGCCGTCAGGTAGGCTACTTTCAAGACGTCTCAAAAGTCAATAGAGCCGTCAGGTAGGTTTCTATCAAAACGTCTCAAAATCAATGGCGGCGAGTGCGAGCCTGCCTGTATTGGACGTCACTATCGACCCGGGTAGTCCCCTGGAAGAGGAGGAGAAGCCGTCAGGTAGGCCGTCAGGTACATATGCAGAAGAAGGATTCGATTTGGTCCTTGTTCTACGTCCGTCGTCGAAGCCAGCGAGTGCGAGCCTGCCTGTGGACGTCACTATCGACCCGGGTAGTCCCCTGGAAGAGGAGGAGAAAGCCGTCAATTCAGGTACCTGTAGATGAAGAGTTCCATCTCACCCGATAAAAGTGATGTTTTGAGACGTCTCAAAACAGGTACATGTCGATGAAGGTCTCCGTTTCACCCTTGTTCTACGTCCGCCTTCCAGTTTATGGCGGCGAGTGCGAGCCTGCCTGTTTTGGACCTCACAATTGATTTGGGTAGCCTTCTGGAAGAGAAGGAAAAAGCCGTCAGATAAGCTACTTTTGAGACGTCTTAAAATTCAATGGCGGCGAGTGCAAGCCTGTCTGTATTGGACGTCACTATCGACCCCGGTAGCCCTTTGGAGGAGAAGGAGAAAGCCGTCAGGAAGGCTTCAGGTGCTCTTAGACGGGCCGTCAGGTGATTATTCCAGGTAAAATGTCAGGTGCTACTAAACAAATATCACGTCACCATCACAGTTAAGATACCCTTTCCTGCCATATGATTCCCCTAAAAGTTTTTAGCGTACAGTCACAGCACAGTCATAGCGCACAGGGTTACCGCAAGAACATGGCACCCAGCCTCATACCTGAGCCTCATCCCGCCTTACGTGCACCGTCAATGAGTTGCTCGCAACTTGTGACCCCTCATTCACCCCCCTTATCCTCCGCCCATCCCCCACCCACCGCGCTCCTCTCCTCATCCCGAGGGACATTGCACGGAGGCACCTGCCAGCGTGGCAGCGTTTGCAGGAGCAAGAGCTGCAGGTTACCACCATCTCTCTCGAACGGTCCTTCGTATTAATATCATCGCGGTACAAACAAGGTACATTGCAGGTTACCACCATCTCTCTCTCTCTCTTCCCCTTTTCCCATCCCCAGGGACATTGCACGGAGGCTCATGCCAGCATGGCAGCATGTGCAGGAGCAAGAGCTGCAGGTTACCACCATCTCGGGCGGCATCACCAACCTGAGTGAGTCTAGGGACGACCTTAAGCGTCAGCGTTATGCATTAAAGGCTTATTTCAACAGGCAGCATTAATTCCCTATTCCTCTCTCGTACCTTTTCCCACCCCCCTCGGTATTTTCCCATCCTTACGGTCCTTGCATCTCTATTCAGCAAAGAATATCTCTGTTAATGCCGTCCTTACGTTCCGGTCCTTGCAGTATTTAAAGTGCAGCTAGGAAAGGAGCAGGAGGAAATGAAGGGGAAAGGGCAAAACAGGGAGGCATCATTCAAGGGAGGCGGAGACAGCAGCAGCCAATCGGAGGCGATCACTGTGCGCATTTACGGGCCAGATACGGACAAAATCATCAACAGGAGCAGAGAATGGGAGGTGAGGTGGGCATGGGCGTGGGTTTGGGCATGGATGTGAGAATGTGGGCATGGGCATGGGCTATTGCAGGGGCATGGCATCCCCACACCACACCCCTCCATGTCACACCACACCTCTCCGCACCACGTCACACGCACAACACCACCCCCTCCCCTGCCCCCTGTCAGGCACTCAGGGCGCTGTCAACAGCAAACTTCGGGCCTCGCCTAATAGGGAGCTTCACCAATGGAACCGTGCAGACGTACCTGCCTGGCCGCACGCTCACCCCACCTGGTATGCTCTCGAATCCACTCGGAATTTTCTTTGTCAAGCAGTGAAAGCGCTGTCAGCAGCAAGCTCGCCTGATAGGCAGCTTCACCAATGGAACCGTGCAGACGTACCTGCCTGGCCGCACACTCACTCCACCTGGTATGGATTTTTGTTCTACTCAACTGCCCTGCCAAGCACTCGATCTGTAGTCTACAGCAAACTTGGGGCCTCGACTGATGGACGTTCACACCCTAAATGGATCCATGCAAATCCCTGCAGATGTACTTGCAGGCGTACCTGCGGATGTACCTGCAGATGTACCTGCAGATGTACCTGCCTGGCTGCACCACACACTCACCCCACCCCGCTTTTCCGCTATGTTTGGTTTTGTTCGTCACCCGGTGTGCCACTATCATGGTGTGGCACCCACTGCTGCTAACAGCGGTGTGCCACTATCATGGTGTGGCACCCACTGCTGCTAACAGCGGTGTGCCACTATCATGGTGTGGCACCCACTGCTGCTAACAGCGGTGTGCCACTATCATGGTGTGGCACCCACTGCTGCTAACAGCGGTGTGCCACTATCATGGTGTGGCACCCACTGCTGCTAACAGCGGTGTGCCACTATCATGGTGTGGCACCCACTGCTGCTAACAGCGGTGTGCCACTATCATGGTGTGGCACCCACTGCTGCTAACAGCGGTGTGCCACTATCATGGTGTGGCACCCACTGCTGCTAACAGCGGTGTGCCACTATCATGGTGTGGCACCCACTGCTGCTAACAGCGATGTGCCACTATCATGGTGTGGCACCTACTGCTGCTAACAGCGGTGTGCCACTATCATGGTGTGGCACCCACTGCTGCTAACAGCGGTGTGCCACTATCTCAGCTGTTAGCAGCGCACCTCCACCAGCCTGCAGCATCATCCGGTGGTCCCAATGTGTCCGCTGTGGCCCCAGCCTGATTCCCATGCACCCTACGGTGATCATCGCACATCCCTCTCTTGGTGTTTTTGACTTTTGAGTCGACTCAAAGTGATCATCGCACATCCCTTTCTTGGTGTTTTTGAGAATTCTCAACTCAAAAACACTCTGTCGTCCCAATGTGTTGGCTGTGGCCCCCTAGCCTGAATCCCATGCACCCTACGGTGATCATCACACACCCCTCTCTTCCACCATTCTCCACCCCTATGCAGAGATGTGCACCCCGCCATTGTCACACCTGATAGCAGCACAGCTGCACCGCCTGCATCATCTGGACGTGCCTCTTGGGTCGGAGGAGGAGCGGAAAGAGGGGCACTTGTGGCACTCTGTTTGACATGCTCAATACTGGTCGGTTCTTGGCACAGCATTTGTCTTCACAGGATACTGATGCCTTCACTGATGCCTACACTGATGCCTTCACTGTTGCCTTCACTGATGCCTTCACTGATGCCTTCACTGATGCCTTCACTGATGCCTTCACTGATGCCTTCACTGATGCCTTCACTGATGCCTTCACTGATGCCTTCACTGATGCCTACACTGATGCCTTCACTGATGCCTTCACTGATGCCTTCACTGATGCCGGTGATCAGCAACCTTTGCCGGCCTCCTCCTCACGGTTGGCTCGTTGCCATCAGTCAGTCAGTCAGTCAGTCAGTCAGTCAGTCAGTCAGTCAGTCAGTCAGTCAGTCAGTCAGTCAGTCAGTCAGTCAGTCAGTCAGTCAGTCAGTCAGTCAGTCAGTCAGTCAGTCAGTCAGTCAGTCAGTCAGTCAGTCAGTCAGTCAGTCAGTCAGTCAGTCAGTCAGTCAGTCAGTCAGTCAGTCAGTCAGTCAGTCAGTCAGTCAGTCAGTCAGTCAGTCAGTCAGTCAGTCAGTCAGTCAGTCAGTCAGTCAGTCAGCACCATCTTCCCTTCGTCCTGATCATCGTTGGTCGAGTAGCATCCGCTGACCGAGCATTTCTTCCCATTCTGTGCTGGTTTCTTTGTACTCGTTACTGTCTGCTCCCGTTCCCCGTCAGAGCGCCTTCAGCCGAGAAGCTTAAATATGACGACCCGAAGCTGCAGACCCGCTTTGACTCCATTGACTTTGCCAAGTTGAGAAGCGAGATACAAGAAGCAAAGGTGTGTGATGGTTTCAAATATCTGATTATCGGAGGTATTCGAAGCCAATCATTGCGTGTCTGTCGCTGCAGCATTAGTTGGAACCGAAGAGACGATGCAATGAATCATGCGGTCTATCGTGCCCCCGTTCATGCGAGCGTGAGTGAGTGTGGGTGTGAGTGAATGTTTGTCTTGTGTCTGTGTGGATTTTCGCTCATAGTCTCTGCCCGCAGCAACTCATTTGCTATTCAAAGCATACATGCACTCATGCCACTCATGTATGCCTCTTACCTATGCCATGCCACTCTCTCTCTCTCTCACATCTCGCCCACCAGGAGTTGACAGACCGTCTACACTCGCCCATTGTCTTTGCCCACAACGTTATCCATACATACCTGCACGCACGCATGTCATTTGCCCATCACCCTCTCTCTCACATCACGCCCACCAGGAGTTGACGGACCGTCTGCACTCGCCCATTGTCTTTGCCCACAACGACCTCCTCGCTTACAACCTTCTGCTGGATGAATCTCAACCAGGTACCGTGTGGTAACAACCGGTAACATGCGGTAACATGTGATATGACTCATGCCTTTTGTCTTTGCCCACAACGACCTCCTCGCTTATAACCTGCTGCTGGACGAATCCCAACCAGGTACCGTGCGGTAGCATGCGGTAACGTGTGGTAACATGTGGTAACATGTGATATTTTGGTGGTAACTCGGTGGTAATGTGGTGGGTGGCACGGTGGTGGCAACATGTTGTAACATTGTGGTAACATGCAATCACATCTCACACACGGGAGTCAGGAAAGGCTTTGACATGTATGCCTACCTACCTACCATGCCAATGTACTATGCCAATGTTTCACATCACCATGCAAAGTATGTACCACGAAAATCTCCTTTCATGCCTCCCTGATTCCGTCTGTGCAGGCGCCCCCGTGATGCATATGATCGACTTCGAGTATGCAGCATACAACCCCCGGGGCTACGACATTGCGAACCACTTCTGTGAATATGCCGGCTTTGAGTGCGAGTACTCAAGGTGGGGTGAGGTTATCCCAGATGAGAGACTTAAGATACCTAAAAACGTCAAGCCTCTTCTGTGAATATGCCGGCTTTGAGTGCGAGTACTCAAGGTGGGGTGAGGTTATCCCAGATGAGAGACTTAAGATACCTAAAAACGTCAAGCCTCTTCTGTGAATATGCCGGCTTTGAGTGCGAGTACTCAAGGTGGGAATAAGCCAAGGTGAATTCTTGAGGCGCCTCAAAAATCGAGTGCGAAAACTCAAGGTGGGAATAAGCCAAGGTGAAACGATGCAGTTTGTGACTTGTGACTCTTCAAGGTGTGATTGTATAGCACGTGGCTAATTCAGGTGGCATAAGTGTATGGGAGCAACGTCTGATTTCTGCAATGTTGCAGAGAATTCTCAGCAGTATGTAGTAACCACCCCCTTCATCTCTCCTCCCCTCCCCATCACCCCCCCAGATTTCCCTCCAAGGCCCACCAGCACGACTTCTTTCGTCACTACCTGCACCCCACCGCTCCTGAAAAGGTGTGTCATGGGAAGGTGGTGGTTACAGTAGGAATGCTGATGGGGAGCAAGGTAGGTAGGTTGTGGGAGGGAGGTGGGGGAGGGAGCAGCAAGAGGCAAGGCCAAGCCCGTTCAACAGAAGGACTTCCTTAATCAGTAGCAACACCCCGACGCTTGTGAACAGCTGACCTATTGGGAGGAGGGAGGAAGGTGGGAGGGAGGTGGGAGGGAGGTGGGAGGGAGGTGGGAGGGAGGCGGGAGGGAGGTGGAGGGGAGGTGGGAGGGGCCGGAGCGACGAGAGAGCATGGTTGGTGCAACTTCCATGCTGGGGCCCCAGCACCAATTCCCGATGCCATCGTGCCAGTGCCTCTCGGGCGGAGTTGAAACGGTTGTATCCCTGCCTGCCGTCATGTGTCCCTGATGGAGGTGAATGTGTTTGCCCTGATTCAGTTAGTGCATTTCTTGTCTGATAGCGCCTATCGTTCCTCCCTCTTCGCGTTCCTCCCCGTTCATGTTCCTTGCATTCCGTCTGCATTGCAGGCTTCTCAGGAGGATCTGGACAGGTTGTACTTGGAGGTGGCGTTCACCCTCGCCTCTGCTCCCTCCCTGGCAGTATTCCTTCCTATGTTTGATAAGGCCTGCTCTTCCTGTTTCTGCTGCATTGTAGGCTTCTCAGGAGGATCTGGACAGGTTGTATTTGGAGGTGAATGCGTTCACCCTCGCCTCACACTTCTTCTGGTGCCTCTGGTCCCTCATTCAGGTAACCGCCATGTCTTTCTGACTGTTTCTCCCTCATAACCTATTTCCAATATGTTTCACTCCTAAACTTTTCCAGCTATATCATTTGCTTGTTCTTAGTGAGGATGCACCTTTGTATGCCATGCGTCTCAACAATCTTCGTTTGAATGACAGTCATACGACTGTGTCGTGAAGTTTCTTCGAAATCTTCCTTGATCTACTGCTCTTGCACTTGCTTCCCTCTACCTGTTCATTGTGCATTCCCATCCCATGCGTGTCCGCAGGCCAAGTATTCAGCCATTGATTTCAACTATATGGACTACTTTTTTGTTCGCTACGGCGTGTATCAAAAGCGAAAGGAGGAGGATGTTGCTCTTGTAGAGGCTTATCTCAGCAATCAAAAGCTGCAAACCAGCATAGTGGTTTGATCACCTGACCTCAGGTCAGGACTTTTGCGGATGGACGTTGGCTTAGCAAAGGGGGCTTCACCTTTTTCTTAGAGGGAGATTCTTGCTTGGTGCCTTTCCATGATGCCATTTATAAGGCCAAAGGCCAGACTAACTTGTAATGGAGGTGCTTTTTATTTCCTTCGCTATGTTTAATGGCATGACTAACGGGAAGACAATTATAGGGTTCCTGTGGTCCAGTATGGATGGAAGAATACGCTCTAGTACAACGTGTAATGCCCCCTCAAGTGGGCATTCTTTTCGGCTTCACCAGCGGCACCTTACGTTATAACCACCATCGCTTTTGCAGCGGCATAGGGGAGTACAGTTTGCGCCTCTCATTGTAGAGACCTGGGGATGACTGGGAGGGAGCTTTGGACGGTGGGCGATGCGCAAATCGAGTTAGCGAATACGAAGGGAGCGGCGAGGGCCACGGGAAAGGGTTTTTTCTTCTTATCTGCTCTGGTCACGTGTAATCTTGCTACGCGCGTGTGATCTTGCTACGCGCGGTGTCGATGATGAGAGGCCCAAATGTTGTTTGTGTGGAGCGGAAGATATGTTGGGTGGGATGTTCCATGGACGGATGCGCCCTACTTGGTAGACATGCAGGTCTAGACGAGGGGTTGGGGTGCGGGGAATTTTTAGATAGGTATGGTGTTTTGATGGGGTGTCTTGATGGGGTTCCCTGTACCGTATGTTGTGGTGTTGGGGTCTCCTGGCGGTTGTTGTTAGAATCTAGCAGCAGGAATGGATGAACTAACAGGATGCAGGAGTACAAGTAGTAAACCCTAACTGGGTTGTACCCCATATGGGCTACCCCACTACAGCCTAGACAATACGCAGCACATATGGTTTGACACACCCCCATAGGCAAAGTGGGGGAGAACAAGGGGTCACACGACCAGTCAAGAGAAGCAAAACAAGCTCAGGGTGGATCACAACGTCACCACGCATTCTGAGCACAAGCAAAGGGCCACAGGGCCAGTTCACATGCAGAGATATATATGCAGCAATAACAGTACAGTGATGGCTACCTAGCAAGAGCAAGCATGCAGGTATATATATATATATATATATGTACAGATCACAGTACAAGCAGAGACTACAGCAAGTGTGGAAACGTAGGCACAAGGCCTAACAGAGTACAAAAGCGCTGATGATCACCAGACGGAAGTGCCTTGGTGAATATGTCAGCAGTGTTGGCCCGAGTGGCCACGTGGCGAAGACGAAGCTGGCCTCGCTGCTGCAACTCTCGAGCCAGGAAGTACCGCAGAGCAATGTGCTTCGTTCTGTGCTCCAGTCTGTGCTCCTCACACAAGGCAATGGCTGCCTTGTTGTCAACGTACAGCACTGGAGGAGAACGAGGCTGCTCTCCCAAGTCAGTCAGCAGGTAGGTGAGCCAGCGTAACTCCTGTGCAGCCATGGCGGTGGCGTAGATCTCAGCCTCACAACTGGAGCCGAGAACTGAAGACGAGCGTGTAGAACGCCACGAAACTGAACCAGAGCCAAGGCTGAAGGTGTAACCCTGTGACGACCGCTGAGTAGCCAGGTCGTCAACCCAAGAAGCGTCTGAGTGCCCAGTGAGGACAACTGGGCTCGTCCCTCCAAGCACTAGCCCCATGCCTGATGTGCTGCACAAGTAACGCAGTACCCTCTTAGCAGCAGCCATGTGCTCAGGTCGGTGCCGACCAGGAGCCACGTAGCGAGCCAGGAGACCAAGAGGGTACGCGAGGTCAGGTCGAGTGCAAGTCATCAGGTACATGAGGCAGCCGACTAGCTCTGGGTAAGGACCACTCGGCTCTACGGACTCGTCCGAAGGTGGAGCTGAGAGCGTGTGACCTGTAGCCAGAGGAGTGGCCTGTGCTGAAGACCAGGTGAAGCCGAAGCGCTGAAGGACCTGCTGCATCATGTGTGACTGAGTCAAGGTGATGGTGCGACGTGCTCTGTCTCGGGTGATCTGCAAGCCAAGGTAGCTGCGCAGCTCACCCAAGTCTGTGCACGTGTGTCTCTTCTGCAGCTCCGCCTTCACGTGGGCGAGAGCCTCAATGTCAGCAGTGGCAAAAACCAAGTCGTCGACGTACACGAGGATGTAGAACGGCGGCAGGGAAGTGTCGGTGCGCAGAAACAGCGACGAGTCAGCAGTAGAAGGCGCAAACCCAAGAGCCGCAAGCGTAGTCCTCAGTGTGTCGTGCCACTCACGTGGCGCCTGGCGGAGACCGTAGACCGGCCGCCGGAGGCTCCACTGGGTACCAGGAGGGAACGACCCAGTGAAGCCCGGGGGGCGGCGCAGCCAGATCTCCTCGTGCAGGCTGCCCTGCAGGAAAGCTGTGCTGAAGTCAAGAGAGTGAAGCTCGTAGTCACGGTGAGCAGCAACGTGCAGCAGCACCCGAAGAGTGGTCATCTTCGGGGTGGGGGAGAAGGTCTGGAAGAAGTCAACTCCCTCTCGCTGACTGAAGCCTCGAGCCACGTAACGCGCCTTGAAGACAGGCGGAGAACCCGGCGGCCGCTTCACCCTGAAAATCCACATACCACTGACGATGTTCGCCCCAGGTGGGGGAACCTCGTCAACGTAGGTGCCTGTGGACTTCCAGGAAGCCATCTCTGCGTCCATGGCTGCCTGCCACTGAGAGGAGTAGGGACCCTCTATCGCCTCTGCGTAAGAGCGCGGAGTCGGGATGTCTGGTGCATCCGGGTCTCCCTCAGGGGCAAGTAGCGAGGACACAAGATGAGGTAAAGCAGCAGCAAGACACTGGAACTCCTCCTGCCTGTCCTCAAGGACGTCCGTGCTAAGAGCACACTCACCCCCGACGGATGGAGGACAGACAGACTCAGACTCAGTAACAAGACTGGCAGTGAAGTCTAGACGACAGGCAGCAGCAAAGTCAACAAACTCAGCGACAAGAGCAGACGCAGCAGCAGACTCAAACGACGGGTCAGTGACAACTGTGGCTAGTAGACGCGTGACAGTAGGGTGCTGAGCACGAAACCGGTCAGACGCAGGGTCCGGAACGTCAGGCAAAGAGGACGCAGGAGGAGACGGCAGAGGAACAGGCTGCGGAACAGAGGAAGGACGACGGACTACGAGGTGTGCGCTGGGGACAGCCGGCGGACGCGAACGAGGAACACGACGACCGGTACGACCAGGACGAGCAGGCGAGACAGGACGCGACGCAGGCTCACGACGCTCAGCAGGATTACCAGTCAGCTCAATGTAAGGAGAAGGAGCAGGCAGCGGCGAGCCAGACTGTAACGGAAGACCAGTAGACGACGGAAGAGTAAGAACCTGACGAAGAACAGAGGCAGACGGCGGCAGAGACGACGGAGACGGCGGAGCGAAGAACAGTCGTGTCGGCGCAGCTGCACCAGTACCAGCAGCTCCAGCAGCTCCAGTGCCTCCAGCAGCTCCAGTACCTCCAGCAGCTCCAGTACCTCCAGCAGCTCCAGAAGCTCCAGGCCCAGAGCCGACACCTCGAGTCCCAGGGTCTCCAACCTCTGTGTCTCCAGCAGCAGCACCCCCAGAACCAGCACCTCCAGTCCCAGGGTCTCCAACCTCAGGGTCTCCAGCAGTAGCACCCCCAGAACCAGCACCTCCAGCTCCAGGGTCTCCAACCTCAGTGTCTCCAGCAGCAGCACCCCCAGAGCCAGCACCTCCAGTCCCAGGGTCTCCAGCCTCAGTGTCTCCAGCACGAGCCCCTCCAGAACCAGCAACTCCAGCACCTCCAGTAGACAAAGGACCAGCACGACTCCGAGCTCCAGCAGCGCGACGCTGACGGCGACCGTACCAGTCCTGCAGCTGCTGTGGGGTGAGAGGCACACGGGGACGAAGGCGGCCACTCCAAGGAGACCGCGCAACAGCAGACTCAGAACCCTCAGCGCCCGCACCCCCAACGGCTCCAGAACCTCCGGTGTCAGTACCCTCAGCACCAGTACCTCCAGCGGCTCCAGAACCTCCAGCGCGAGCACCCTCAACAGCTCCAGAACCTCCAGCTCCAGCGCCACCAGGACTAGGCCCTCCAGCAGCTCCTGAACCTCCAGCGCCAGCACCCTCAGTAGCTCCAGAACCTCCAGCGTCAGTACCGCCAAGCTCAGCACCCCCAGACCCCTCACACTCAGGCTCAGCACCACCAGGCTCTACACCCTCAAGCTCCGCACCCTCAGGCTCAGTACCCCCAGACTCAGCACCCCCAGGCTCCGCACCCCCAGGCTCAGCACCCCGAGCAGGACCACTCGCAGTAGGACCTGAGTCACCAGTGACCTCAACCGGCGCAGTCAAGGGAGGAGGGTCTACCTGAGAAACACCTGAAGGAGCAGGACCGGGAGCGGGGAGGGGGTCTACCTGGGGAGCACCTGGAGCGAGGAAGAGCGGCGGGGGGGGGGAGCGAGGCAGTGCGGTAGGGGAAGAGACGGTAAAAGGGAACCGACTCGTCGAACGTGACGTCCTGAGACGCAAAGACACGGCGCGAGGTGGGGTGGTAAAACTGCCAACCAGGCGCGTCAAGGACAAAGCCAAGGAAGACACAGGGGACAGCGCGGGCGGAGAGCTTGTCCGCGGTGGTATCGCGGACAAAGGCACGAGCACCCCAGACCCGGAAACGCGACGCATCGCCAACCTTCCCCGTCCACAGCAGTGTGGGCGAGGTCTCCGGCAAGGAGACACGGGGCCAGAGGTTGAGCTGATGCGCGGCGTACCGGACCGCAAACGGCCACAGAAAATGGGGGGCAGCCGCATGGATCATGGAGGTACGAGCGACCTCCATGACTAAGCCAATGCGGCGCTCAGCAACCCCATTCTGCTGCGGAGAGGCCGGAAGCGTGAACGACTGGGTGATGCCGTGCTCCGCACAGTAGGCTGCCAAGAGGTCGGAGGAGAACTCACCACCTCTGTCAGAGTGCAGACGCAGGACAGGAAAGTCCGACCGGAACCGCTCGCGGAGCTGGAGACGAACAGCGCGGATCCAGGGGATCAAAACAGCAGGGACGTC